GATTGAAGCAAAGAAACCTTCCTACATAAACATCCTGAGAAAACAAATATTTTTTTCAAACGTCTAAAGATCAGACTCCAAACTACTGATCAAAAGGAGCATCTGTATATTTGCATTGAGAACAAGGAAAACAATCCTGTAGAAGTGAAAGTATAGAATTTTCTTGTACAGATAGTGGAATCTTTTCAGAGCTGAACGGTTAAGGGAAGTTTTGGAATTGAAAAATGTGAAACAGATCACTTGCTTTTCTGAGATTAGGAAACATTCCTGTATGTAGGTTGCAGGAAAGATTAATTTTTTCCTGGATCTCATGTTACAATTTCTACAGCTCTGCTGATGAATACAAATGTAGTATCATGGCTAATTTGAGAGTGAGAACAGTCTGTATCCGTATTTTGTTTATAGAACTCGTGTCTCATATTTTGCTGTTTTTGATGGCCACGGAGGAGTTAGAGCTTCAACATACGCTGCACAGAATCTGCATCAAAACCTAATCAGAAAATTTCCTAAAGGTCAGAAAATATGGTGGTATTCTTTGAGTTCTACTTCTGTTGAGAGCTACATACTGACTTGGATTTCTTAATAGGATATTCTTATATACTATCCTTGAGAAGATATACACTGATTTAAGAGAGTGAGGTAATTAAACAGTATCAAGCAGTATCTGAAGGATAACTTGGGTAAAACCGAATCTAAATCATTAATCTGATTTGTGGATTTTCTTAACCCATAGTCATGCAGGATTAAGCAAAATAATTTTCCTTCCATTGTGAATGCTGAATTTTCTGTTTTCTCTGAGAAAACAGGCTGGGTGTCAATTCTGGAGTGGGTGGTGCCAATTCTTTCTAATATTTTATCGGTTAACCTCCAGATTAGGTGTCTAATTGTTCCCTTTGAATCTATAAAATAGGAGAGGTACCCAGTGTGGAGAAAGCAATAAGGAGATGCATTTTGGATACTTTCAAACATACAGATGAGGAATTTCTCAAACAAGCTTCCAGCCAGTAAGTATATACTTTATCAGGGATATAATATGTCAAGGTATTTGAAGTTGAACATCTGTAGAAAGTTGGAAGGGATGCAACTTTACATTTTTTTTCTATCAATCAGTTTCTGTATATGGAAAGGTAGCCATTTGAGAAGAAGAATATCTGATATTTGTTTGCTACTTTTAGAACTTGGATAGGAGAGGAAGGTATTCCAACATGCATTCTGGAATGTTGCACTTGAGCTATCAGCAAGGCAGTATTATATGTGTGGGGTTCCATAGGGCCTAGCCCTATGGAATGGGGGACTTGGTATCTTGTAAGAATCACTTTGTGTAGTTGGACTCATCTTTGTTTTGCCCCCAATTTCTGAAATCTGCAGGAAACCTGCTTGGAAAGATGGTTCCACAGCAACCTGTGTGCTGGCGATTGATAATATTTTGTACATTGCCAACCTTGGCGACAGTAGAGTAAGTCTCACTGAAAATTGTGGATCCAGACTATATGTGTTTTATAGTATTAAATAAGGGTAATTGTTTTGTTTTAGTGATAAGATGTTATAGTAGCTATCCTTTAGTTCAGTTACTGTTTTGCAGTTTCTTTACCAAAGGACCAGGAGACTGACACAGACTCTTCTTATACTGGTAGTAAGCACCCTGTAGTAGCTGGGTGATTTTGGAGAGAAGTATTCTTAGTGATCTATTGTTGATGATGTCTCTTTTAAAAAAAAAACTTTTTCTTGAAGATGGGTGTAGGTAAGGACTGGTGCCTTTTGCTAGTTAGAATGCTTGATAATTCAATACAGTGTGGATTGGCAACCTTTCAGCACCCAGCACCATTACATGAAGTCAAGGAATATCCCAGATATCTCAAAATAAATAATGCTCAGAATGTTGGCAATCTTACCCTGATCTCAATCTTGTTTGGTTGAGTAGTTGTGGGTGGGGTGGGGTGGGGTTTTGTTTTGTTTTGGCTTATTTTTCTAAAAAGATTGTTCCAACTTCATTTGAGGGGGTTGGCAGTGCTGCTTTGAGGACAATGGGGCATTTGTTCCCCAGATGTCATTCGTTAAGGACTACAGTACAGTGTGCTGCTTAGATCTTGCTAGCAGAGACTTTATGCTTATAGCTCTTGCACTTGCTTACAAGAGTTATTTTGTCAATACAGGCAATTCTTTGCCGTTACAATGAAGAGACTCAGAAGTACACAGCTTTGAGTCTTAGTAAAGAACATAACCCAACTCAGTATGATGAGCGGATGAGGATCCAAAAGGCTGGAGGCAATGTCAGGTAACAAACAGGAAGCAACAAAGGAAAATGAAGGGAAGGAATAGTTGCCAAAAATTTCAGCAACTTCTTGGGGAATTTATGTGGCACAGAGCTTAAAATGATGTTGCAAATTTGGTGTTGCAAATCGAGGTTGAAAGCCCTCTAGATCTCACTGGCTGATTTAGGGAAACTCTAAACTCCTTTCGTTATGGGAATAATGGGTATTACATGCATACTTGCACAAACTCCATATAAACTGTGATGTGACAAATATATTTTAATTGGTATTTAACATAACATTGAGGTTCTAACAAACATTTCATTAACAAAAAGGTAAAACAGGATTTCCTAGCTTGACACCCCCCCCAATCAGATGTATTGGATTGCCAATCCTAGCTATTTTGCCATTATTGATTTCATTGTATGATAAGAGTAACAATGTCATGTAATACAGAGGACTTCCAGATAATTGTTTAGCGAAACTAATGACTTGAGTATTGATTTCTGCTTTTAAATTTAAAGAAAATATTTGTATGTCGCTTTTAGTCACATTCTAAAATTAGAGAGTGAAGCTACAAAAGGAATTGTATCAGCCATTTGTGAACTCAGTAGGCAAATTGAAAGATTCTAGTTTTTTATTTCTTTGACCCACTGAGTCTCTAGATCAGTGTTTCTCAACCTTGGAGACTTTAAGTCCTGTGGACTTCAACTCCCAGAATTCCCCAGCCAGCTGTGCTGGCTGGGGGATTCTGGGAGTTGAAGTCCACAGGACTTAAAGTCATCAAGGTTGAGAAACACTGCTCTAGATAGTCTTGACCTACAACTGTCATCACTCTGAATTAGAGACTATGTTTGGTAGAGATTATGGGTGTTGTAAACCTGAGTTTCTGTAGATCTGCAGTTCAGAATTACAATCCATATGTCAGGGTTCCAAGAAACATACCCGTAGCAAAATGACTAAGGCCATTTTGAGACTTCAGCGCTGACATCATATTTTAAGGACTTAATTTAGTGACATAATTATAAATCCAGCACCCTCTTTTCTGCTTAGGGAAGGACGTGTTCTGGGTGTCCTGGAGGTCTCCCGCTCCATTGGGGATGGACAATACAAGCGATTTGGGGTTATCTCTGTGCCAGATGTCAAACGCTGTCAACTTACACACAATGACAGGTAAAACTGAAACAGTACCCAGGTAAGGAAATATATGCAATGATTTTTCCTAAGTTTCAAAAGTATAAGTACATGCTTTTTGGTTTTGTATTTGGGTACATCTTACTGTCAATTACTTTTGCAGATTTATCCTATTGGCCTGTGATGGTCTCTTTAAAGTCTTTTCACCAGAAGAAGCTGTGAACTTCATCATGTGTTGTTTGGAGGTGAGAGGAGGAGGGTTGTGTTGAGAAATCAAGAAGAGGATGGTAAAAAAAGAAATTACATGTCATTTATTTCAATTGGGCTTGTTCCTCTTTTCCACTTACTGTTTTGTCATTTCATTGCTGAACTTTTTATTACTGTTTGCTAAAAGGATTGTTGCAAACAATGTTTGAGAGGCTGTATCCTTGCTTTCAACTTCAGAACCAACTTTGATTATCCCATCAAGTGACAAGCCCAAATGTTGCTTTCTCAGATTAAGAATCCAAGATACCCGTTTATTTTGCCCCAGCAGCCTGGGCCTCTAATAAACAGGGCAGCAGTACTGAGATTGCAGAGTTGGTGATTTTGCTTCCTATTTAAATGTAGAAAAGGTATACAGGAGCATGCCCACTATGTGAGGTTATTTTTGTGGAAAAATAAAGAGGCCTTAAAATTAATACATGTAATATTTTATGGACTTCAATCCATTCTGATATATTGCCTTGTGAAGTCAAGGCAAGATACTGTTTTGTTATTATATTTAATTTATTTCAGCAAATGAGGTTATCTTTTTTTTTAAAGGACTGTTGTGTTGAGGATATGCAGATAACTATGTTCAAACCTAAGTTATTACCTCTGGACCGGGAGGTATGATAAAGATTCAAGATAGCAATAGCAATAGCAGTTAGACTTATATACCGCTTCATAGGGCTTTCAGCCCTCTCTAAGCGGTTTACAGAGTCAGCATATCGCCCCCACAATCTGGGTCCTCATTTTACCCACCTCTGAAGGATGGAAGGCTGAGTCAACCCTGAGCCGGTGAGATTTGAACCGCTGAACTGCTGAACTAGCAGTCAGCTGAAGTGGCCTGCAGTACTGCACTCTACCCACTGCGCCACCTTGGCTCTTCAGATGTCAGATGAGACATGACTATATAAAATTATCTCATTGGAGTGAAAGGAAATTACCCTGACTTGTATGATCTACTTCTCAACAGGATAAAACTCTTCCCACAAGAGATGCCAAATCTTCCACTGATACAAAGTATGAAGCAGCCTGCAACAGGCTGGCCAACAAAGCAGTGCAACGAGGATCAGCAGATAATGTCACTGTCATGGTGGTCCGGATTGAACAATGATGGGACAAATACCTGCAAGGAAGATGCATAACAGCATGCAGCAAATTTAATAGAACACAATAGTGTGTTTGTGAAATGTGCGTGTGTGTAGAATCTTATGGATTTCCCCCCATATGCTTATTTGTAAATAAAAGGATTTTTTATAAGCATTCAGGTCAGTTCATTGTTTCATAAATTGTAAATACTTGGGTCTTCTGTTTTCCTCCTTGAATGGGCTACAGGCAGTAGTCTTTAACAAAATTTCCCTGCAGGTAGTTATATTGTTTGCTGTTTTACAAAATGCTTCAGGTTCCAGTATCCCACTTTAAAAAAGACATGAACAAAGGGCGCAGTTATATTTTATTGGCAACTTGTTTTAACTGAGCATGGGTTCTAATCCCATATACTGTATAGTCATCTGAATTTTTGATCCAAGCTGCATGGATACTACCTCAAGTAGTATTTATATAGCTGTATGCAAAATAGATGAAATTTCCGGCTAGAGCTAGAAGGTGAGGTTAGATTAGATTTTAAATGCATGGAGTAGTGGAATATGGCATTGTTAGATTCTTTAGGCTGAAGTCTTGGAGAAAAGTATATCAGAATAGGTCTTATGAACAGGATTGGGCTGTCATTGAAATGATCATATTTATAGTGACTGAAATCAGTGGGGGTTTTCTATTTGAATTTAAATGGAATAGAGTAAATTTGTGCCTTGGGTCAGCATTGACATGCCAGTGAGGCTTGAGAGAACTAGCTAACATGGAATTATAGTTTATTTTCAGTTATGATACAATTTGTAGTTTGTTTGTTTGCACATAAACATTGTGCAAGGTATGAATTCATATGTGAGGAAAACCTTTGTAATATGTCAGCGTTAGATGTACTTTCTAAGTACTATTATTCTGATTATTTAATTAATAGGAATAGAATTAAGCTATTATGGGTGAGATGATACTCAACGGTGACTAGTGTAAGGGAAAACTAGTGAGGGAAAGATTGGGACAATAGGAACAGAATGCACCACCAACTCAGTGTGAGCAAATTGGGGTGGGGGGGAGGACAGGTTAATTTTGGACTGCATTAAATGAAGCTTTGTACTTCATGGGAAGTAATAATTGCAGGTATTCTATTTTGCACTTGGGATCCTATGCCCCTTCTGGACATACCACTTAAATAGCACATGAAGAAGCCAGAGTGGATTTAGGGGAAAGCTATTAGGATGAGGCATACTGAGTCCCATGAAAAACAACTAAATATTTATTTTATTTAGCATATTTAACTTGCGATAGAGAAAGCTAAGGGAGAGAGAATAGCGGGCTATACTGCAAATAGCTAAAACGTGTTACGTACAAAAGCGGAAGGACCTGTTCTCAGTTGACATTGAAAGAACAAGAATCAATGAGCCAAGGACTAGTTAAGCTGGGTATTGAGAAAAAAATATTAAAGGATTCTTGTATTGAGCAAAGAAAAGTTAGGTGACCTGTATAGTCCTTCCAACTCAGCGCTTCTATATTTCTACGTGACATTGGGGTGCAGTTCAATCAATAATAATTTGGCTTACATGTGGATGTCAGCAGCTGAGGTTATCAATCACGTAATAAAATATTTGCTAATCAGCCCTTACATTCTCAGTTTAGTTTTCAATATCCTTTGGAAGTATTGCCATGCTGTTAACTATTTGATAGAAACTGTTCAGCGAATGGAATTCAAACCAGGAAAGAATAGTCTCCAATTTAAAACTACATGTTTAGTCAAACATTTTCAATATAGAAGTGTTCTGAGCTTAGGTTAAGCCTACCCGTTTGACTGGTAAAGACAAGTAGAATTTGAAAAGTAAACAATTAGATATAAAATTGATATCCACAAATTGGTGCTCTCTATTGAAATTACTGAGATATTAGGACTAGCTCCATGGTTGTTTTATATAATAAATCTACTAAAGAGTCATTTTCTTCCTGTGCATCAGCTTCATTGTTTGGCCTATTTCTTTTGTAACTAAATAAAACACATTTAAAAGTAGGTGTATGTGTTCATTAATTTTTTTAAATATAGTAAACTAGAGTTGCTGTAAAAATATAGTGTATATACATACAAGCACTCCCCACCCCCCCGGATATAATACGTAAATACATAAGCATATAAAAGAGCTGCAATTTGCAAATGATTGATTGTGTTGCAGGGCAGGGCAGTGCCTAGGCTTTATCAAGCCAGTAGCATTTCCAGAATGAGAAGGGTGGATGCACAACTTACTGAGAATATGCTTTCCCTAAAATCGAGCTTTTATAATGCTCAGCTTAATCAGTCTGATGCCTAGAATTCAAAATGTTCTGCAGATGCTTCTGCCTTCTAGTAGTCTTTAAAGGTGAAACTGAATTTTGACTTTCCAGTTCTTACATTATTTTCAATTTTTCAAATTCTGAGCAGACAAGTAGCTTATTAGAAAATTATTTATGGAAAAGAAAACTTTTGAATGTAGAAAACTGGGTATAAAAAATCCTCCCTTTTCTAGGTCTTGTAGCTGCTTTTACTTTTTTAAGAAAGCTTTTTAGGAAAGGAAGATCCTAATACCATTATTCCTGAATTTTCTGAATATTATAGTGGACTTAAACTAGAACTTGCCAATGTGTGATCACTGTAGGTCTATAAACCTGTGTTCGAACTGAGCTGGTGTCTGTCTGTTGCTATAACCCCCAGCCAGTTTTGCTAAAATATATGCATTTCCTTATAGAAAGTGATTGTGAGAAGGAGCAGCAGTTAAAGAAGTGGCCTTCAGGCTGAAATAGATAAGGGTGTGTCCTCTGCATTTCTCTGATACATAAATTAGAGAAATGGCAACAACAACAAAATTGCCTACGTGCCAGTGGTACTGTAGGACTAGAGGGTGGTGCTGTGTTGCTTTTGTTGGCTATCACACTATAGTTCTGATAGCTACAGGGAAAATAAAGACCATTACTCTGAAAGAAAAGTTTCCTTTCTGTAATCGGTGGATGCCTGAGCACATAACTTCATAAACTTGCTGTGATACAATTAAATTCAAAATGCACTTGCCCTTCCTCCATTCATTGGATTTAGTGCATCAAAACAATGTAATCTGATAGGTGTAAGACAGCAGTTTACATGGTTAACAGTGTTTATAAGCAACCCAATACTACTGTAATTATCTGTCAATGTGGTTAATAGTAATGTACATGTTGTCATCACTTAAGAGCCATAGAGTACCATACAAAAGGACATGTCACATTGGTTAATGTAGAGTAGTGGTTTAGATATGGGACTAGGGAGATTTGGACCAAGGTTCATTGTCTACTATGCAAATTCATGCAGTGACTTTAGGCCTGACATCTTTTCAGTCCAACAAAGGATATTGGTGGGAGTAATTGTTAGAGAAGAGAGTTTACCATCATGAGCTCTTGGAAGAAAGATAAAATACAAATGAACAAACGTTAAAACACTGGGAGATTTCTGTAAGTACATATATGCTGAGTGGTGAAAGACTGAGCTGATAAGAGTATCTTCATGTAATGGCAATGTTTTACAAAGGCATTCTGTTGTGGAGGGAACAGCAAGTACTATATATCCTTGGGATTAAAATAGGATTGAGAGCCACGTCCAAAGGTAAACTAGAAAGCAGAAAGGTCAAATTTCAAACTTAGTGCTAGAGGAAAATATAAATTGTCTTCAGTCAAATGTCACTTGTGGTCTTGCTTCCTTTGGCTGTTCTGCCGCATGCTGAACTCTTTCTACAATCACATTTTTCACCTTTGGATCAAGGGTCTGTGCTTCCTTCTAGTGATTCCAATTCCACTTGACCAAAGATAGAAGCTTAGCTTAGAGCTGATTAAAGGCAGGATTTCAACTTAAAAATGGGCAGTTCTGGGTCACTTAGATACCTAAGAGGACACCCCTGAAGTCTGACCCACTTCGTACAATGAAGGAGGATCCTGTTGCATTATCTATGAAAACTGAAGCATATTGGCCAGCCTATAATAGAGAAGATCACAGTTAGTAACTAGGTTCACACCTATACTAAACCATACAGTGTTTTAATTATGGTATGTTAAAGTACTAAATTGGCTAGCTTCACATAACATACTAAGCCAAATATAAGCAAGCCACACTATGGTGGGTATGATGTGTAATAACTGCAGACACTGAATTGAACACAAACCTGTGGTTTAGTAGGCTTTACCTAGTACCTAGCACATTCTGAAGAGGAAAAAATAGGTAATTTAAAGTGTGACATCTACTGTCCTCATGTCATCAAATATATTCTTTAAAATAAAATCAACTTAAAGTTGAATATTTCTGAAATCATACAGGTTTTTAGTATGAGTGCTTGCTCTTTAAAGACTCACCTGCAGAAAAAGAATTCCACTGACTGAAATAGTGAAATATTCACTGGTTTTGTCCAAACTCCTGACTGTTTCCAGAGAACTGAAAGTAAGATAACAGGATCTTTAGTAATGGATGCCAGAACACAAAGTGACCTCTTTTTAATTGACCAGTTTGCTCTAAAATCACATCCAATCTTGCTTCTCACATTAACCTGTGTAGCTGTAGATAAGAGATTAGGTGAATTAACTACATAGGTAATTAATGATTACCTATATTGGGATACATAGGCAGGCCAGGATGCAGTAATACTGAAAAACAGATGCTTTCCAAACAAATATTTCTATCCCAATCAATCACCTTTTCTGGCGGCAGAGTGATTCAACACAGATCAGCAGGCGCAAGCGATCTCGGGCCCGTGACTGGTACCTTGTGGGATGGATTTGAGGAACTGCAAGAGGTAAGAAAGAATCAGGCTGCAAAGAGTGCCAGCAACTAAAAAAAGACCCCAGATCCTGGACATTACTAAGGGCATTGCTTTAATATGCCTATTAGCGTAGTGCCCATCACTATTTCAGAGACGAGTCACATAGCATGATCCACAAACTAGACTTTTGTAGTTGCTGCCTGCTTTTGTTGCCTGAAAGAACATGAAGAGATCTAAAGTATCTAAAGAACCCAATCTGCCCATTCCATCCCCGATTTAGCAAAGACAAATATTTCTATGGCTTTGCTAGTAATCTTTATATCATTCATTACTGCCAAATTTCTCCCTGACATAATTTCTGCTTGGGATTTAGTATTACCATTTAAAAAAAAATTCACATGAGGTCAGATTCCACCCTTCTGTGGGCCGAATTACTGTTTGTTTACTTTTATAGAAAAGTTCTTTGATAAAATAGAAATATCTTTCCAATTCTTGATTTAGAGTTTATACAGTGAATAAGCTAATAGTGTATTATTTATTTCAAGTTAAGCACTTACCAACATACAGTCTGGCACTGAAAATGTAGTATCCACTGACAGGGGCCATATATTGACCATTGTTGAGATTTAGACCTAGACCACGATGGAATAGCTCCTCTTTCTTAGGCTAGTACCAAGCACACAAGAAAGGTTCATTTAGTTTTATATCTATTTGCTAAGATAAAAATATTAAACATATTCCAAAACATTCAATTAAAAACACAGGGTATGTGGGATGGAAAGCTCAAAGACCATTCAGGCAGAAATGAGATGGCAGCTGGGATGCCCAATGTTGAATCCATAGCCATCTGATGGGAATCAAAATCAAACAAAATTTGACAAGTCTGCCATGAAAATCGCAGCATTCTCCTCATTAGACTAGCTCCAAGCAGGAGATTAATAGGGGCATACTTGGTAGAAAATGCAGTTGCCTGCCAGAAATAGTCTTAATTCATGTTTTTCAAACTTGATAACTTTAAAATGTGTGGGCTTCAACTCCCAGAGTTCCCTACCGGCCTGCTGGCTGACGAATTGTGTGAATTGAAGTCCACACATCTCAAAAGAGCCGAGGTGGCGCAGTGGTTAGGGTGCAGTACTGCAGGCCACTTTAGCTGACTNTTCCCTCATTGTTGTAAGCCGCCCTGAGTCCCCTCAGGGAAAAGGGCGGCCTATAAATGTTCAATAAATACCAAATACCAAATCCCCATTCCCTCCCCACGAAGGAGGTGGTATTTGCTGGTTCTCCAAACTACTCGAAATTTTCACTACCGGTTCTCCACAACTGGTCAGAACCTGCTGAAGATCAACTCTGATCACGGAGCCAAATGCCTCCATGAGAATCCCTTCAAAATATCCCCATTGCCATTGTGGTGGAACACACACACAAAAAGTATTAAACACGTGGAGTGCAGCGTGTTCTGACTAGTTCTGGAGAACCAGTGGTGGAAATTTTGAATAGTTTGGAGCATTAGACCCCCAGCGTGGAAACATGTCCTTGAGGAGTACTCCAAAACTTTTTCTGATGCAAACTGGACAGTGATTGGGCATTGGGTAACAGGACCTTGTGTCAATTGCAAGCTGCATTGGTGGTGAGTTGACTTCTAGACGCTATTCAAGATACTGGATATCACCTCAAAGCACTTCATGGCTTAGAATCCAGATATTTGAGTGATTTCAACATGAATGAATCAAGAAACTTACGTTAAGTTGCAGTTCAGAATATTGATTGCTCAAGCCTATGTCTCAAAATCAATTAAAGTTCAACATTAAATTGGGACCAGACAAGAATCGATTAAATTCAATAGGAGCTAGATTTAGACTGTGGGAATGTAATGATTCTAGGCTGATGACCCATTTAACTCTGCCACTCACACATCCCCCAGTCCTGCCTGCACTTCTCCTACATGGACCTATCTGTAACCTAGAAGACAGGGTTACAATACTTCCGCTACGGAGTGTATCACTTTTAACACAACTCCTTTTGAGGCAGGAGAGAAAGATAGTATAAAAGAAAGGGATACAATATTTTGAGAATCATATAAAACAGAGGTCACGTGGCTGAGCTAATGGAAATTTACTTCTCATTCATAAAAGGAGAACTTTAATATAGCCTATAGTTGAATAACCTATGTAATAACCTATGCACTAAAATAATTCCTGTAACTGACCATAAGACTTGTGCAAAGGGATGTGGACCAAAAGTAACAGATGGTGTAAGATAAGACCCACCCATGTGACCTACCCACATATAGAAGTATAGCAAATTCATCATTTATTGAGTTTCCTCTTTTTAGTTACGCTTCTCCTTTCTTGTGTTTTGTACTGATAAAGAAGGTGGCATAGCCTAATGCCCGGGTGTTGTAATATAGCTCCTTGTCTAGGTGTGGGTCACCCATGGCCCAGTTCATAACAGGGCATGCAGAGCNTCTTCCTCTTCCTCTTCTTCTTCTTCTTCTTCCTCCTCCTCCTCCTCAGCTACCTCTTCCTCCCCCTATTCTTCCTGTTCCTCATCTTCTTCTTCCTCCTCCACCTTTACCTCTTCCTCCTCTCCTTTCTATTTCTCCTCTTCCTCCTCTTCTTCTTCCTCCTCCTCTCCTTCTCCCTTTTCCCCTATATCTTCCTCCTGCTCCTTCTTCTCCACTTCCTCATCATCATCCTCTTCTTCCTCTTCTTCTTCTTCTTCCTCTTCTTCTTCTTCTTCTTCCTCTTCTTCTTCCTCTTCTTCCTCTTCTTCTTCCTCCTCTTCTTCCTCTTCCTCCTCCTCCTCAGCTACCTCTTCCTCCCCCTACCCTTCCTGTTCCTCATCTTCTTCTTCCTCCTCCTCCTCGTCCTTTACCTCTTCCTCCTCCCCTTTCTATTTCTCCTCTTCCTCCTCTTCTTCTTCCTCCTCTTCTTCTTCCTCCTCCTCTCCTTCTCCCTTTTCCCCTATATCTTCCTCCTGCTCCTCCTTCTCCTTTTCTTCTCTTCTTCCTCTTCTTCTTCTTCTTCTTCTTCTTCTTCTTCTTCCTCCTCCTCCTCCTCCTCCTCCTCCTCCTCCGTATTAGCCTAGAAATCCCCCAAAGGAAAAAAAAACATAAAATCTTTTAAAACATGAGTAACCAACCTTGGCAACTTTAAGTGTTGTGGACTTCAACATCCAGAAAGCCACATTCAAGAACCAGATTGGGGACAGAGCATTCCCCAGAAAGTTCTATCTATGTGATCATCTCAAGGCTTGGCACAAAAATAACCCCAATTGGGCTTGGAAAGGAGGCTAGTTGGAGGCTTTCCCAGAATTCCCTCACCTCTGGCTGCTTCAGGCATCTTTGCTATGGCTTGGCCCCTCCCGCACTCCGTAGCCTGTGATCAATCCCCTATTAAACAAAGCTTCTTTTTCTGGTTCTAATCACTGACGTGCCTCACAGTTTTATATCAAACATAAAGCTCCCTGTAGCATAATTTCCTCCTTCTATCTTCGCGCTGTCATTGTCTTACTCTCTTGGTCCCTCCCCATCATCTTGGAATAATTTCTTCTTTAGCATCAAATATGATCTTGTTGGAAATGTCGGCTTCTCCTGGAAAGCTTTCCCCCAGGATGGTTAATTAAAACGTCTCCATGAAATAGATTGGGACGGCCCAAAAACGCATCGTGGACAGTGGTGAGATTCAAGCATTTTTATTACCGGTTCTGTGGGCGGGGCTTGGTGGGCGTCACTTGGCTTGATGGGTGTGGCTTGGTGGGCATGGCAGGGGGGGGAGATGTAGCAAGGACGCTAGAGATGATATTTAGTATTTAGCAAGCGGAACGCCTTAGCGTCAGTGGTGGGATTCGATTTTCCCTCCCACTCCAGGGGAAGGATACTGCAAAATCTCCATTCCCTTCCCCACTCCAGGGGAAGGATACTGTAAAATCTCCAATCCCTTCCCACTCCAGGGGAAGGATACTGTAAAATCTCCATTCCCTCCCCACTCCAGGGGAAGAATACTGCAAAATCCCCACTCCCTCCCCACTCCCGGGGAAGGATACTGTAAAATCTCCAATCCCTTCCCACTCCAGAGGAAGGATACTGCAAAATCCCCATTCCCTCCCCACTCCAGGGGAAGGATACTGNTTTACTTTACTTCTACTCTATTCTACTCTTATTCCACTCTCTTCTCTTCTACTTTAATTCTATTCTACTCTACTCTACTCTACTCTACTCTACTCCAATCTATTCCATTCCATTCTACTCTATTCTATTCTACTCTCTACACTCTACACTGTGACAAGAAAGGTTATGAGGTGGGGCAACTTAACAAATGTTTCACTGAGCAACAGAAACTTTGGACTCAATTGTGGTTGTAATTTAAGGATTACCTGTACTCTTAAGTTGATCGACTTTTCCATGGGTGGAGAGGGGTTTGAGATAGACAAGATGGAACAGTTGGGAAGGTAATGGATTACGATCATGTGACCGCAAGATGCTGCCATTGGTCAGGAATGCAAAGCACCAGAATTGGCCCTGTAGATGATGCGACAGCTGTAGCTGTGGGGACAGGTTACAAAGCACTTTTTCCGAAGCTCTTTGAACCGTCATTAAATGAGGACTACCAGTCTGCATTTCATGGGTGGTGGGGTAAAGCCCTTAGGGATGAGCTATTCGAGGCCACCATCAGCAAATTTTATTTAAACATCCTGTGAAATAAGGCAAATCTTAAGCAGGCGGAGAATGTATTATTTTTTTTCTTCCTTTTCATACTTTCATCTGGCGTGTGAAAAATCGTGCCGTTTTGCAGGCACTTTTAGGAGAATGGCCCACATGTTAGCTGCGATATAGAATGGTGTAATGGAACCCTAGAGATGTGCTTATGTAAATATTTATAGCGCATTCCTCCGCAATCTTCTCTCTGGTAGTCCTCGCCCATTAATTCATCTTTAACGGGGGGTTGGGGGGGGAAGCAACAAATGGAAACGGAGGAAAAGGGAAAAGAAGAAAAGCAGAATACACAGCCGGTCCTCAACTTATGACGGCAATTAAGCTTGGAAAGGAGGCCAGTGGGAGGCTTTCCCAGAATTCCCTCACCTCTGCTGCTTCTGGCATCTTTGCCCCCCCCCCCCCGTCCCCAACACTCCGTAGCCTGCGATCAATCTCCTATTAAACACAGCTTATTTTTCTGGTTTTAATCACTGCCTTTTTAAAGGTGATTACCTGTATGATGATTCCACCCATCCATTGTGGTTTGTAAGATATAATTTACACAAATTACAATTAATTATAATCTCCTCTTCCTCCTTCTCTACCTCTTCTTCCTCTTCTTCTTCTTCCTCCTCCTTCCTCTTCCTCTACCTCTTCTCTTCTTCTTTCTCTTCCTCCTCCTCCTCATCTACCTCTTCCTCCCCCTACTCTTCCTGTTCCTCATCTTCTTCTTCCTCCTCCTTCCTCTTCCTCTACCTCTTCTCTTCTTCTTTCTCTTCCTCCTCCTCCTCATCTACCTCTTCCTCCCCCTACT